TTTTTCAAGTTTGACCTAATTACATAAAATTTCTATTTTAACCAGAAAATAAATCCTCCCTATATATAATTCCCGAATGCGTTGAGCCTACGTGGCTGCTTCTGGTACTTCCGAATCCTATTTGGCGAAGAATCATACTTCGTAAATAGGTTTGAACAAATAATATTGATATATTAATAATTAATAATCTAGGTTCGGGTAATCCATAAATATTATTTAGCTAACTTAGGTATTTTAACATCACTTTTACTAATATAACCCTTTAATTATTTGTAATTTTACATAGTGAGGACTAAGTGACTAATATATCCTTAAATTTTGATTTGTTTCCTTCAATAAGCTATTGAATTATAAATGTATTTTAAAAGTTGATAACTTTTGTATTTCTTATCGGTTTTACATATATAATATATCAAATTAATCATCTTTTGATGATCTTCGATTTGACATCCATATTGTATATATAAAATAAATAAATTATATTTATCTTTATAATAATAAAAAATAATAATACTTATTAAAATTCATTATAAAAATAAAATTATTTCTCAATTGATATATTTATATTTAATGTAGTTATATCTTATAAGTTAAAAAAATTAGTATAATATAACACAAGTAAGTTGCACAAATAAAAATTATCATAATAAATATATAATAATATATATATATATTCTTATAAAAGTATTTAAATTTTCAACTATTTTTTCTCATTGATTTTAAATTTTAAGAAAAAAATTAGCAAGCACCCGTGTAATACACGGGTGTTGTACTAGTAACAATGAAAAACTTTTGATTTGATTATTTGACTATATTATATCAATTGTTATAAGATATTTTTAGTATTAATAATTTATGATTAATGTACTACATTTTATAACAAATGACAATATATTAAAAATTTCGAATTGTAGAATTAATAATAAATGAATTATTTCTTTCATACTTTATACATGCTTATATGACAATAATAAAATAATTTTACATAATTAAAATCAATTAATAGATTATAGTTGAGTATCGAGTTGAGATAGTTTGTAATATTAATTAATGTTTGTAATGTGTTATTAAACAAATTAGTTCACAAAAATCTGCAGTCATCAGTCGTTTGTCGCAATTTTGGTTCACTAATTAATTTTTAACAAGAGCAAAATGTCCTTTTTTTTTCCGTGGTACAATCCAAATTAAAGTATTTTCTAGCATTATTTTTTTGTTCTTGGAAAATTGAATAACATTTGGAAATAAAATGTTCCAATATATGACTTTTCTTTACTAGGTCTTTTACCACACAGTTTCTAAGGCATGCTTGTTTACCAAATAATCCATTAAAAATGAGTTATTTTGGTTAATTATAGTTAATTTTGAAAAATGTTTTTAATAATAGTATGATTTTAATAATGCATTAAAATAATATTTAAAATAAAATAATTAAGAGTGATTTGATGTAAAAAAAATAAGAGACAAATGATTAGAAATTATAGGTAGTCAGAATCATGTGAGTGAATGAATAGTGAATTAAAATCGATATGATGTGGAAAAATGATTGATTTGTATTATTTAATTATATGAATAAAATTAAGAATAGTGAGATTGGGTTAAAATTAAATTAAATTTTGAATATTAATTAAATGTGAGTAAATTATTGGGTAAACAAGCATGCCCTTAGGAATTTAGACTTTTTTTAATTTTGAGTTAAATTTGAGTTTTGATTGGTTTTTTTACTGTACAAACCATAAACAATTACCCCGTAATAATCTGAGTTGAATTCATTAAGGCTCGAAAACAAGAATTTTCATGTATTTTCTAAATGATTATCTTAACTTCCAGGGGCGGATTTACACTTGGTCCAGCCTGGGCAACTGCCCAGGCTGGATTTTTGTTGCTAATATATGTAGTTATAATTTCCAAATAAATATTTAGGAAGAAAAGGCAAAGTTGAAGAATTTGCGAGACGTAATAAAAACAATTTTAAGCTTTTTTAACAGTCTATATAAGACGAAGTCTAACATTATCTCTATGTTCTCTTCTATAATTAAATTTATTGAAATGATAATCGAGGATGGGGTTATTGCTGATCAAAGAGGACAATGTAATTTGTTGTTCGTGTAGATACAATCCTTTGATTTCATATTTTGTCTTCTTGTAATGAGACAAATTTCACTAACTAATGAGTTATGAGTATAACTACAAAAGGATGATCAAGATATTGTCAATGCTACGGATTTGGTCAGGCGAAGTAAGATTGTGCCGGTTTACAAAAACTAGAAAAAAAAAAAAACTTTTTTTTTTTGTGTTAACTAGAGCTTATTTGAAGACGGGTAATATGATTAGTTGTATGTGGAAATTTAAAAATTTATTAAAATAATATTTAAAAAAATATTTAAAATTAATTTGATGTAAAAGTATGAGATATATGATTGAAAATGATAGATAGTTAAAATTGCGTGGGTGGATTAATAATGATTTAATGTAATGTGTAAGAATAGTTGAATGATATTATTTAGTTATAGTTATAATATTGAAGATGATGGGTTGAGTTAAAGTCGAGTTAGATTTATAATTGAGATATATTTTTTTTTCTAGAAATTTGACAAGCACGACCGAAACAACTCCTAAAAATGAGAGAAAAAGAATGTGAATGAAAAAAATTTTTGCATAAGGTAAAATCATATGTAATAAACACGACATAAAAAATTTCGAGCAATTTTTATATTGCTCTGACTGATAAAAATTTCTGCATCCGCCGCTGTTAACTTCGATTATTGAGACTCGAGTTCGACTTAGACTCGTCCTTTAGGTATTGTTTGGTTCAAGGGATTTGGAGGGGAGGGGAGGGGAGGGGAGGGGATGAAGAATAATAATTTTCCTTTGTTTGGTTGCAAAACTAGGAGGGGAGGGAAAGGAAAATTTTAAGTAATTTTCCCTCCCCTCACTCACTTTTTCTCCCCCCCAAAATTGGAGGGATTTGGAGGGGAAATGTTATTTAATGATGTTAAATGACTATTTAGTCCCTACTTTCAATTGCTTTTTATTTTTTATCTTACTTCATTAAGGGTAAGTTTGTCATTTTAATTTTATTTTCCCTTCATTTAGTTTTTGAACCAAACAAGGTTTATCATTTTCCCTCAATTCTCCTCCTAAATTATCCATCCAAACAAGAGAAAATTATTTTACATCGCCTCCCCTCTCCTCCCTTTCTCTCCATTAAAATCCCTCCCCTCCCTTCCCCTCCATTGAACCAAACACACCCTTAACAATGTTGCTCGTAAATAACAATACATCATGTTACCAACGAACCGCAACAAGACTAAATAGAGGCTTAAGCGGGAAGTTTCGAACTTCCGGGGTCAAAACGTAAATAAGAACAATTTGAGGGTCCAAGACTCCAAATCGGCCGAGCTCAATCATCGTCTCCAAAAATATTCATTTGCTCCGGCGACCAAAAATCCCGGCGACAAATCTCCTTCCTCTCCATGCAGATCGACTTTCCACCTTCAGGAATTCGATTGTCCTAATTTCCCCGAATAACTTCACAACCACAAAGCAATCAAGATGGTACTCGACAAATCTCGAATTGAATCGATCGTGTCAGTGTTCGTCGCCGTTCACCCTCACGAAACCTCCGCCTTGATATACTCGTCCTCTTCCTTCTTCTTCGTAAGCCATGATTTGTCAGTTGATGGGTTTTGCTTTTCCTGCGGTGGCTTTTGACGGAGATTGATATTTTTTTTCGCTCGCTGCAGATTTTGAGTGCGTATTTTGTGGTGCTTCCTTTGCGGGACGAAGGTGCGATTTCTTTGGGGTTGAAGAATCTTCCGGGCCTCTTCGTCGGGTCGTTGCTGCTCACGTTGGTGGCCGCCCCTGTTTCCACTCTCATTTTCTCACTGCCAAAGCTTTCTAAACGGAAGGTATGTATGATTAATCTTGAGGATAGTTACCAATTTGGTAATGATGGTTGCTTTGGTCGGATTATGGAGAATTCTTTTTTTTTTTTTTTTTTTTTT